ATTTTCTCTCGTCTCAGTTCGGTATTTCTGGCTGATATCCCTGCAGCCGGCTAACTACCTGGCTCAGCGCACGAATCAGTCAAGTTGATACAACATTGACTCAGTGTTGACAAAGAAACTGCATGTATCTGGCAGGTAATGAAGTGTGAGTTTTCTGACTCACTCGATGTTCAGCTTGACCTTGTCATGGATGTCTTAACATATTTAGCTGCACCGATTCCAGTCACTGCTCTGACCGTTCTTTCCGCTCTCTTTGTTAACATTTGAGCAGCAGTAAAACCTAAAAGCGTTTATTGCAGAGCACACTGGGAAATATACATCTGCTGTAAACCATCTTTCAACCTCTTAAAAAATATTCAATGTTGTATAGATTTTACTCCTGGCTGAAGAGATGCTTGTCCCTGTGTTAAAGTATTTTATAAAGTCAATATGCACCTTTATCAACAAATGATCCCTCTCTGAAAGATGCTTCATGTCATAAAAATAATCAAAAGAAGCATCTGTGGTGACATTGAACATTTTACTCAACATTACTTAACATTAGAATGTTTAAGTCATTTTTTCAAATATTTAGTTGAACAATATTATTCCACTGTGAAATTATTGTGCAATGTCCAGTGGAAATAACTTTGAAAAACAAGAATTTAGTACACAAGTTTACAATTTAGGCTTTTTTTTTTAGCAAGCAAACAAGCTTCTGGCATTATCTGAGTTAATTCAACTGTTCTTGCTGGTATAATTTATTCATTTGAACCATTTGGTTTTATTTATCTTTTAAACATAGCCCAGAATCTTTATGTAAGCCCGAATCCAAGCCCAGTTTTGACACAAAGTTTGGGATCATTGTTGCAACACCCACTAACTTGGTACTGGTTGGTCAATGCTTTAAGCTTAAAGTATTAGTTGAGTAATTGTTGAGTTTCTTGCTTGCAACTTATTTCTGCAGAAGGTACAGATAGTGATTGTACTTTTTGTTTTCAGTTTCTTGCTTGCATCCACATCTACATCCTTGCCTCAACATCACCAAGTAAAGTTGCGCCAAACCAGCAGAAGACGTATTTATATCTAAACACCCTGCTGGAGCTGTTCAATGAGATCTATCGTTTAAACTCTGCTCACACTGCAGTGAACTCAGAGGAGACATTAGAGAAACAGTAAATGGCATTTGCTCTCATGCATCGGCCTGTACTTTGTAAATACTGTGTTTAAAGGCCATGAATATTGAATTTTAAACAACGTTATGACATAGTTGAGTTTTCTTGATTATTCCCTGGAAGCAGGTACATAAACATTGTGGATATTTGAACATTTAAAGCCTTGAGACTTGGAAAATCTGGAGAAACAAAAGGTAAACTGAAGCTGAGCTTGTAATAGAGTGAGTGTAGAGTATTATGTTTTTGCTGGGTAGTTAAAGTGGCGGTGTTATGTATTTTCCAGGGACATGGTACCATTTTACAGCACAGTTAAGTAAATAAGTTACTCCAGCTGTTATGTAAATACTGCATGTATAAACTTAAAAATAAACTTAACTTCCCGTGCTTTAAAATTGGCCTCTGCCTCTTTAAGAACCTCCTACCCTTCCTGACACGTCCCCCTTCAGGACAGCTTCACAACAGTGCTTCTCCATGTCAACCGTTGATCCCATTTACAACAGTTCTTAGGAGTGTTAAAGTCTCATCAGACAAACAGGTTCACCAGGTGTTTGCTAATTGCTGCTGCTAGTCTGAAGGAGCTTAATGAGGGAGGGGTTTTTTATAGGTGAGTCCTGGTGTGGACTGAAGCCCCAAGGCAGAGCCTGGGTAAATCAGCAGCACAGTGCATGACCACACAGAGGATAACATTACAATGTAATGTAAAAAATTAAATTAGCAGAATACTGCACTTTAAAAACACTTATCAGTGGATGTTGGTCAAACTGCTTAATAGCTTTTAAAATCTCTTATTTTAGAAATTGGTGAAATTAGCTCTTTTTTTTCCCAATTTGAAGGCTTCTGAAGTTCATGATATTTTCACACGAGTCGATCTTTATGAAATGCACAGAGAAGCAGCTGGGTTTGTACCAGTGTAAACTCCTCTGGGCTCCGACTCCTTAGCTGGGGAACCAGACAGTCCCACAACGTTCACTTCAGCCAGACAGAAAACTTCCCCTGGGGGATTATTGCATTATAAATGCATGCTATTAATACTATATCAAAATCAAACATTTTAGATAATGCTGATAAAACCAAAAACAGGAAAGCCAGAGCACTGCATATTGCTAAAGTCACAGCAAATAGATTGCAAAGGTTTTTTGGAAGTACAGAAATTAAAGGCATCTCAGTAGCTTCAAGTAGTTTAGAAGATGTTAAAGGGAAAATAAATTCATGGAGCTTTAAAAAGAAAAGTCAAACAAATTGACTACCAGTCACCAGGTCAACAGTTCAGTCGATCATTTTCAGATTCTCATCAGTTCACATACTGAACACAGACTGAAGTCTGATTTAGTCGTCAAGTGTTGGAGTGAATGGAATAGAGACTCACTTGTAATATTGAAACTATTAATTCCTGTGTGTGAACAGGAAACTGGCATATTTACTTTCATTTAACACTACATCGCCAATTATTTAAATCTTGTGGTTCTAGTTGGAGCGAACCGTTTTGGCCTTGACAACCTGGTGGCATTTTGTTATTCTGTATCAACAGTGTAAGTTAGTGATGTCACACGCATCATCGGTTTGACCACAACCGTCTTTTGGTGCGTTCATTCGTCTTTGGTTTCATAAGTTGGTTTCTGTATGACTCACTGCGCTCATGTGCTTCTGACATTGTAGCTCGAGACTTGATGAAGGCAGAACATCTGTTTTAAACTCATGAATGTTTAGGGACTTTTCTTCAAATCTGGGTCAGACATTCACCGGGACACAGTTTTGTGGAGTCAGCATTTATATGTAACTTTTCTATGGTACAATGAAGAAAAAAATGCCATCAGAAGTTTCATATGTCTTCATCAATCGTATGTAAAAGGACTGCTTCCATTGTTCCAGTGATATTACTGTTTGGCCCAGATTTTGATTAATTGTGACCAGTTCTTGTGTTACTAGCTATTGAAGTTTATTCCATCTTTTTTGACAACTGGTCACAGATTCCCATTAGGTTTAAGATCTGTTGAAGCTTCCCTACTAAAGGTTCATTTCAGTATTTTTTTTTAATCTTTTGTGCAATGTGACAAGCACTCTACCATGTTGGAAAACCCAAACCACCAAAATACTGATCCAAATCTTTGTCCACAGCAGTGTTTTTCTGCAAAGGAAACAGACTCCCTTGGATTTGAAGAAACCCTAAATGCAGGATATCTGGATTCTTGTTTTCTTCTCTAAAAAGGATGCAGCAAATTCACAGAAAGGGAATTTGGGAAAATAACTTTCACACCGGTCTTTGTTTACTATATTTGGACATCCTGCAGGATTTGATTGGGTTCTTGTCTTTTTTGGGGGAACAGAAGTGGCTTTTTTTGCAACCTGTGTGTAACACTCATGTGTGAAGCCACATCTTGGATTTTAACCTTGGTTCACATCAGAAGACATTTGAGTTGCAGTCATATTCTCCAAGATAAAACTGTTTAGACTCTAACACTATTTAGCATTTTCTTAAGTTTTGATTATCCAGAGTGCCTTTTGCCATTGCATTTGATTTAGGTTTTTACAGGTATGGAAGAATATAATCATTTTATTTCCAGACTTCATTCCCTATCTGATGGTGTAAAAGCTGTGCTCAGAAATCTGTCAGTCTGTTTGTTTATCCATCCATTTGTGCACCAGACCTTTCATCTTTTGTTTGCAGCTTCCTTTCTTTTATCTTTCCTTTGTTCCTTCCTTCCTAGCTTTCTCACTTCATTCCTTCTTTCGTCTGTGTTTTATTCTGCAATATGGCTTTTGGTTTGTTCTCCCAACCTTCCTTCCTCGCTGTGTTTGCTGCTTCCATGCTAGAATTTAGAGCTCTGTCATTTGAGTCTGGAAAAGGATAAAAGTTTGACATGAGAAATGCGGAGCAACCCTTTATCCTTAGACATGAACATCCAAACCTGCAGACGTGGAATTTGAGTGTTAATATTTTGGGAGGCGTGTGAGCTTATTCATATCCTTGGCCTGTTTTTCAACTTGTACTAGAGGAAAATGTATTGCCACCTTCGTCATCTACAGCAGCTTTAGAAGATGATTCAGACAGCAGTACACACACTTCACCCTTATTTATTGTGCACTACATATTTCTAGTAACACTAGTAACATCGCTTCTTTTGATTTACGTTACCATCAACAGTCAAAGCTGAACTTAAAAGCTAATGTATGGTGCAGCGTGATTCAGGCCATTACAGTTGATGATGGCGTAGTTGGAACAGTAGAGCAAAGAGTAATGGGTCCCATGTGATCTGTTCATAACTGCTCATTGAGCCAGAATAATGTGATTTTCACTCCATTAGGGGATTCAGAGTCCCTTTTGGGATCCGTCAGCAGTTGGACATACTTCGACTTTTTTATTTCCTTCATCTTGCATACTCATTTTTTACACTTCCTCTCACTCTGTACATGTCAGCCAGCAAACATACGGTGAAGAATTGCACCAAAAAAACAACCTGGGTAGACTGATTGTGTGATTTTTATTATGAAAAAAAATCACATTGTTGCTCAAATATAACTTTTTCTTCTACTGATGGTTTTAAATATACTTAAAAGAACAACATTATATTTGGGTATGAATATTTTGCCCATAGTAAGGTTATAAAAGCTATAAATCAATGTCATTTCTGTTATTTTGCATAATTTTTTGGTTGCGGTGAAACTTTGTTGTAAAAAATTTTCTGAGGCAAATTTTTGAGTCGTATCAAAACAGAGTAACATGCTAACGTTAGCCTTGCAGGTGCAAAATATGAATTTACACATTTTGAATGAGATGTCATTAAAAACACACAAAACTATTAACATTTTAGATTAAGCACTATTTCATCAGAGCACATTTATTTTACCATTTAAAACTTCTGTAAGAATTTAAGTTGGGAGAAAAAAAGTTGGCATTGACAAGTTTTTAAATCAGATATGGTTTGGATCTTTATTAGGACATTTGGTTTGGCTGCAAAAAAACGACAAGATAATTTATTCAGTCATAAATTAAATACAAGATTGGAGAATTTATGTGTGTTGTGAAACAGCAGAAAGACTAAAAATTTGACAAGCAAAATCTCAATCATAGTGTAATTATCATTAACTATTTCATCCTCAAAGAATAAGGTGCTCTTCTATTACAGAAATGATGGATGAGTGAATGTATTTTTGCCCGTAATTTGAAATAATACAAAGTGTTCTTTGTGTGGACTGTGTGTAACCGCAGAGTTTGATCGATACCTCTGACAGGACATGTTCTCACTCGTTCTGCAATTCTTCAGTTATGAAATACTCAGCTTGTCCTCATAGAGTACTCATAACATGCTTATAAGCAATAAACAACTCATGTGAAGACACTGTAAAAGATTAAACTCTTCAGATTGTTAAATCTTGTTTATAGCTCTGTCAGAAGATAATTTAGAGACAAAGAGATGAGTAGATAAGGTCTTTGGCCTAGATGGAAGACTCTGTTCCCTGTGAAACTACTGTCTGGTGAAGCTAATAATATTTTTCTCCGATTGAGCGCATCTTGTATTTTAAACACCATTTTAGGACTAAAACTGCAGCGAACACCTTCTACCACCCGACCAAAAAGAGACTGTTACATAAGAAGTATTCTTCCACTCATGCAAACGTTAAGTCAAAAGGAAAAAAAAAAGTGTATGCACAATTGTTTGGATATTTTTTTTACTGGCTAAAGGAAATCCTGAAGTATGCCTTAAATAACACTCTGTGACTGCAGCTCAGCGTTGCCATGAAGACAAAACTTCCTCGTCCTTTTCTCTGTTGATGAGGATTATCTGCAGTCATGCATTGACATTTAAGCTGCTCTTCTGCACAATGAAGTTGCAGAAAGTCTACAAGACTGAGAGATTTGTTGATTCCCCATCAGTGGTTTTCATTTTTTCAGTCTTTGTTCTCCAGGACTACATTAAAAGACATTTACCACCAGTTCGAAAACGTTGTTTTAAGCCAAGCTGGTTTACACTCTCCTCCAGTCACCAATACAATTAACACCTGTTAATTGTATTGGTGTTTAACAAAGAAGTGTAAGCAGAGTGCACCACAGCGCAGCAGATCCCTGTGTGCCTCTGGCAGGAGCTGCTGAGTAATGACTGTGCACAGAGATCACAGGGGAAACAGTAAGCAGACCAGTCAAATTTATAATCGTTAACATTGTCAGATAGAGTTTTTAAGTGCGCAAGGTTAAAAGAAGAAAACATTGAAGTCGTAGTCCTGCAGTATATAAAGAGTCAACATCTGATTCTAATTACATGCGAATCTGGAAGGGTCTGAGCGCTCCCCAAAGACAATAAGATCAAGGGTTTCTGCTGGAGAGCAGCACAGGCTATTTTTATCCCGACATCATAGATAATAGATTCCTTTGGTATCAACCAGCTCCATTAGGCTCACACATTATGGCTAAATGGGATTGTCAGAATGTGCAAAATAGGTGTTAAGAGTCCAGAATGTGAAATGGTGTTCCTGTGGTTAAAAAAAAGGAAAAACATTATCAACATCCGTCTGCTGGATTCGAGTGGGCGACACTCTCCTGGGGGATATTCCCTGTTGTATCTCCATAATAAGCAGCGACAGCTACCTTAAGTCAACCCTGCAGAGTAGGTGCTGTGAGTTCGAAAGAGAAAATATTCAGCAGGAACAAACGGAAACCAGGCAGGACAATGTAACGTGCAAGGCCCTACTTGAGAGAGTTGAAAATGTGGTGAGCGAGCTGCAATCTCGTTGCGGGAGGTAGCGAGCTGCCTAAACCTAATTACAGTGAGCAGAATTGCACATGGAGCTGGATTTTTCTGCTTTACAACCCTATGTCCTTATTCAGCAGCTTCACATGTTTCCCCTGTTATTCTTTTCCCCAGTCTATTCTGTTAAATTAGTGCAGTCTTCAAAATGTATTATTTATACTTTTTGTGGTCAGTTTGTCATATGTTTTCTGTAATGGAGTATCAGGGTTCATTTTTCTTTGCTTTTTTTTCTGGTCTGTTTTACGCAACGTCAAAATTTGATTATAAAGATAACATTTTATTTTTGAGAATAATGACAATTTTTGAAAAAAAGAAAAAAAAAACATTGAAACTATTTCATTACTAAATCAAAAAATTTGAGGACTGAAGTGATAACAATAGCTTTACAAAAGTCACACTACGGAAACCGCTGTGTTCTACCAAAGTCGATAATTTTCCAAGCTGATAAGAAACACATCCATAATGACTGGTGAAACTGTTGCCTTACTGATTGTAATTTGGACAATTTGTTCTCAATATGTTTCATTTCGTGTATTAAAAAAAAAAAAAAAAAAAAAACTCTCTCTTCCAAACATTTAGGCTCATTTTATCATGAAAAAGTATTTTGACTTTCTTAAATTGTTGCAGTTTTGTCATTTAGACTTTTTGTTCATCTGTGCAACAAAATTGCAGTGTTTGAAATATTTATCCACATAAACATCCTCCCTACTCTAAGATTGTCCAGTAGACAGTCTGTTTTGACTGCAGAAAGCCAACAAGAGGGCATATGCTTACAGGTAAAAACGGCTTAAATTCACTGAAATAAACAGCTGTATAGATGACAGGAGACACAAACCAGTTTAATTTAACAAACCTGTTTGGCTCACTGACAGCAGTTGTCTTACAAATTAACTGAAAGTGAAAGTAAACTGGAGTTGAGAACAGATGTGTCCACCAGCTGAGCCAAACGCGCCTGCTCTCCTGCTTCCTGTTCGTTAATCAGGAAGCTTTCAGGCGTGCAGAGGAGATGTAAATCAACCAAATCAAAGTCGACTCTTGAAAGTGATATAACAGAGCTGCACCTTAAAAGAAGTGCCAGGATCCCGTGGCTGCAAAACCAAGCCCAGAGCATTACCCCTCCACTACTGCACTGTACTGTTAGTATGAAGTTTTTGTTCTAATGCAACATACTGATCTTTGGTTTTCTCCTAACATCACACAATACATGACAGCCAGACATCTGCACTTTAGTCACATCTGTCCAAAGAGTCCAATGGTTCATCTGGAGGCTACTTTGTAAAATTTATGTTGCCACATTACTATTTAAACAAGACCCTCAAAATGTAGTAGTTTTCAAGTGTCTATTGTGCAGAAAATAAAGTAATATAACAAGCTGCCATTAACTGCCTCATCAGTCAGACTTTCTGTACAGGTAGAACCGAACCTTGGCTGCACAACAGACATGCTGCTCATAGTTTGCCAAGTGTAGTTTTAAAATGCCATTACCTAGTAAGTGTGATGGATAATGCCCTCTGATTTAGCAGGCCATGAAAATATCCATGTTTATTATGAACAGAAAAGTTTTCCAAACAGGTGAATTGGTATTTTAGGCAGCTGACTGTCTGGCTCAAAGGCACAGCACCAGGTGGGGGAGGGACAGCGTTGAGTTTTGTTGTTTCTGTATGTTGCTTATAGGAACCTAATAAAGAAATTTTGGGGTTTTCAAAAGTATAACATTTTTTAAAACCTTGAAGCACCTTGATAGCAAATATTGGCTAATTACCAATGAAAATGCTTCTGATATTCAACTAATTTAAACTTGTGTGTTCAATGGCCAACTGTTGTACAGGAATAAAGGTATAAGGACTTTAATGATATCTAAAACACTCTAGAGTCCAATTTGAAAGCATCTGGTGACAGTGCTAGGCATGAATTGACTTATTTACAGTATTTCTCTCTCTTTACAGGATGGAAGACAACGAAAAGAAAGAAAGAAGACCGTCTCATTCAGCAGCATGCCCACTGAGAAGAAGATTAGCAGAGTCAGCGACTGCATCAATGCCATGGTGGATGGCTCGGAGCTGAAAAAAGTGCGATCCAATTCACGCATTTACCACCGCTACTTTCTTCTTGACGCCGACATGCAATCATTGAGGTGGGAGCCAACGAAGAAGGAGTCTGAAAAGGCAAAGATAGACGTGAAGTCCATCAAGGAGGTCCGGACAGGCAAGAATACAGAAACTTTTAGAACTAATGGCACCTATGACCAGATATCAGAGGATTGTGCTTTTTCAATCATCTTTGGGGAGAATTATGAGTCCCTGGACTTGGTGGCAAACACAGCAGATGTAGCCAACATATGGGTGACTGGTCTGAGGTACCTGATCTCTTATGGGAAGCATACCTTGAATATGATCGAGAGCAGCCAGAACAACTTGCGCTCATCTTGGTTAAGCGACCTCTTCGATGAAGAAGACGTCAACCACAACAAACAGATAGCAATATGTGCTGCCGTGCAGCTAATAAAGAAACTAAACCCGGGACTTAAAAATGTGAAAATAGAACTAAAGTTCAAGGAGCTCCACAAAGCTCAAGATAAAAGTGGGTCTGATGTGACAAAAGAAGAGTTTGCTGAAGTCTTTCATGACCTTTGCACAAGACCAGAGATTTATTTTCTTTTTGTTCAGTTTTCCAGTAATAAGGAGTTTCTTGATACTAAGGACTTAATGATATTTCTGGAGGCAGAGCAGGGAATGGCTCAGGTCAGTGAAGACACCAGCTTAAATGTCATTTACAAGTATGAACCATCCAAAGAGGGCCAGCTAAAGGGATGGCTCTCTCTTGATGGGTTCTCCAACTATCTTATGTCTGCAGAGTGCCACATATTTGACCCTGAGCACAAATCCGTTTGCCAAGACATGAACCAGCCTCTGTCCCACTACTACATCAATGCATCCCACAACACGTATCTGATAGAGGATCAATTCAGAGGTCCTTCAGATGTGACGGGGTACATCCGTGCTCTGAAGATGGGTTGTCGCTGTGTGGAGCTGGACGTGTGGGACGGGTCTGATAACGAGCCCGTTATCTACACTGGTCACACAATGACTTCACAGATTGTTTTCCGCAGCGTCATAGATGTCATCAATAAGTATGCCTTTGTTGCCTCTGAGTTTCCTCTGATTCTGTGTTTGGAAAACCATTGTTCTGTAAAGCAGCAGAAAGTCATGTTTCAGCATCTGAAGAAGATCCTTGGAGACAGGATCCATGTAGATTCTCCAAAACTCGAGGACTGTTACCTCCCATCTCCATCTGAGCTGAAGGGAAAGATCCTGCTGAAGGGTAAGAAGTTGGATACAAACTGCACTGCTTCAGAAGGAGAAGTGACGGATGAGGACGAGGGGGCAGAGATGTCTCAGAGGATGAGCATCGAGTCCACAGAGCAGCAGACTAATGCACCCAAAAAGATCCCACTGCTTAAGGACCTCTCTGATCTGGTGACGCTGTGTAAATCTGTGGAGTTCAAAGACTTTCCAACATCTTTCCAGAAGCAGAAACCCTGGGAGCTCTGCTCTTTCAATGAGGTGTTTGCCACGCGCTGTGCATGTGATTTCCCTGGGGACTTTGTCAACTACAACAAGAAGTTTCTGGCACGAGTTTACCCGAGCCCAATGCGGATCGACTCTAGCAACATGAATCCACAAGACTTCTGGAAGTGCGGCTGCCAGATTGTAGCCATGAACTACCAGACTCCTGGGCTGATGATGGATTTGAACATCGGTTGGTTCCGTCAGAATGGCAACAGTGGCTACGTTCTCCGACCGGCCATCATGCGGGAGCAGGTCTCATATTTCAGTGCCAACACAAAAGATTCAGTACCTGGGGTTTCTCCACAGCTCTTGCACATCAAGATAATCAGCGGACAAAATTTCCCCAAACCCAAAGGCTCCGGTGCTAAGGGAGACGTGGTGGACCCATATGTGTACGTGGAAATACACGGCATTCCTGCAGACTGTGCAGAACAGAGGACTAAAACAGTCCACCAAAATGGGGACAACCCGCTGTTTGATGAGAGCTTTGAGTTTCAGATAAACCTTCCTGAGCTCGCAATGGTGCGCTTCGTGGTTCTAGACGATGACTACATTGGAGATGAGTTTATTGGCCAGTATACGATCCCCTTTGAGTGTCTCCAGCCTGGTTTCCGCCATGTGCCGCTACAGTCTCTGACAGGAGAGTTGCTGCCTCATACTTTGCTTTTTGTCCATGTTGCCATAACCAATCGAAGAGGTGGAGGAAAGCCACACAAAAGGGGATTGTCAGTAAGGAAAGGCAAGAAGAGCAGAGAGTATGCTAGTATGAGAGTGCTGCAGATCAAGGCTGTGGATGAGGTCTTTAAAACAGCCCTGTTGCCACTCAGAGAGGCCACCGACCTCCGAGAAAACATGCAGGTAAGACAACTCAATGTGACTTTTGTGTTTTACCAAGAACTCCCTGGACCTGATGCGTGCTCATCATTTAGTCAGATGAACAAGATGATTGACATAAAGGGTTGACAACTTTAAGTAATCTGTCTTGAGCTATATTTTAGTCTATTTCATGTGAATAATTTATGTTTTACCTTTTTTAAACATAATTTCTATGTGAAGAAAGTCCCTTTGTTACATCAGCCAAGTTTGGCTCCAGTTATTGGCAAGTTCCATCTAAGCTACAGTTTCTAGACAAACATGGCAGGTGAAGAGTTTGATTTCCTGCCAAATGAGGCTGTAAAAAGTTTTCAGAGTTTTAAAAGGGTAAAGTGGTTGAAAGGCTGGAAGTGTTTCAAATAAGGCAGTGATAAATGGAGGTTAGGTTCACTTTGTGTGTTTCTTACCAGCTGCAGTGAGTAAATAAAGAGATTAAAAAAATACACCTTTTTTTGACAGCTAAGTGGATTATGTGGTGCCTGTATTTGGTAATGTGCTGACACTGAACACAAACTGAAGTCCATTTCCCATTTTTATCAACTTTACTTGTGTAGATAATGTAAATCCATGTACATTTAAAATCAAACTCCTAGATAGGGGATAAAATACATGGATTTTACAGTTACAGGATCCATTATTACATTGAAATAAGAATAGAACTTGTTTCTTTTTTTTTCTTGGTTCGTTTGTGTTTAATGACTGAACTGAGTTGTAATTGTATGCAAATCTAGTTCAGTCTCATATTTAAAATGCTGAAAACTCATATTTTATTTCCAATTCTATAAAGAACTGATGCTCTGATTTTTTTTTCATATATTCATAATCTTTTGATTCTATGTTATTATATCCAAAAATGTGTTTATTTTTGGACTTATTTATTCACTTCTCATTCTTTGCATTCAAATCAATATCCCAAGCTTTGAACAGGATTATTAAATCCATCATCCCAACATGGAAACCATACGGCACCACTGCAAGCCTACAAAGACACGGCTGCCAAACATCATGACCGTTTAGGTCCAAAGCTAACAGAGCGGACTAGGAAATGTGTTGTGAAAATTAATATCGCACGTTGCCACCAACGGCAAAGCTGATCAGAGTTGATGGGAAGATTAACAAAGTTCAATAACAGAAGGCATTTCTGGAGAAGAGATGTAAAACACTTGAGACAGTGTGCTGTGGTGGCGCAAGGGTTTAGCACAACCCACATAAGGAGGTCTCAGCCCTCGATGCGGCCGTCACAGGTTCGAATCCCAGCCTGGTGACCTTTTCTGCATGTCTAGCCACTTTCCTGTCCTAGTACTCTCAAACAAAGGCCACGAGAGCCAAACAACCCCCAAAAACATTTGAGTCACAACCCTGAACATGCAGCTAGAGCTATGTTTAGATCAAAGAATGTGTCAGAATGGCCTAGTCAAAGTCGAAACATAAAAACAATTGAGAATTTGTGTCAAATTTTGAAAGTTAATACATTAATGATTGCTATCTATTCAATCTGAATAAATATAAGCTATTTTCCAAAGAAGAATAGTCAAAAATGTTTCAAGAAATATAAAAAAGTCATGATTTAAAAAAGAGCTGATACTTTCAACCCAGAGCTAGGTTGATTTGGATAGTTTTATTCTCGTAATAACGAAATCATTTAAGTACCATCTCTGTATGACATAACATTTTCTTTGATCATAATCATAAGTGTGAAAAAAACAAGCCTTGTATGTGTTAAAGGATGTAACAGCTCAAAGCATCACTGCAGCGTCAAACCAACGTGATATTATTAATAGCATATTAAGAAAATAATCAACCAGTTTATCAGTGCTGGAAATGTTCCCCCTGTGGAAAACCATTTCCTGTTTGGGATCCAGTAGCTTATGTTTAACAGAATTAACTTTGTGCAGTTAAATTAGCCCATATTGGAAATGCTAACGTTAGTTTCTCTTTTTACTGAAGTTTAACTGAAGAAATACAAAACCACATAAACATGTTCCCATACAATTTATTAAGAATCTGTGAAGGAATGTAAAACTGGAGGGGAAAAGCGGAGTGGGACATCCAGCCACATTGTGTTGAGCATCGTGTTTTGTTCCTGCAGGCGTTACATCGGTCTGTACGTTGGTCCTCCTGTTTATATTGCTGCATTGTGAGATAACAAGCCAGCAGCCATGAGACTAACACATCTTGATCGCTCCCTCACAGTTTGTCCCTGCGGTTGTTTATGCTAGGGTTAATTTTGGCCTTTCACAGGAAGCTTAGGGTTTTTGTGGGTGTATGTTTCATTTCCACTTGATGCTTGTGTCAGTTCAGAAGGATTGGGTGCTTTGGAGCAGCTAACAAGTGCCAAAATGAAAGTTCTCACAAGCGACACAGGCGATGACGGCTTCCAGCCTCTCGCTCCGTCTCTGAGCTGATCTCTGGAGGCCTGGTTTCAGCTTTTAATGCCTGTGAAATAAAGATTTTATCCTGCAGGAATAAAAGATTGCATGCTTTGCATTAGATTTTGCTTTGTTTTTGTAACTAAGTGCATTTAATTTGTAATTTGTCTCAACCTAGAATGCCATAGTGTCCTTTAAGGAGCTCTGCGGCCTTTCAGCCGTGGCCAACCTGAAGCAGTGCATCTTGGCCCTTTCCCCTCGGCTGACAGGACCCGACAACAGCCCGCTCCTGCTGTTTAACCTCTCTGACCCGTACCCTAACCTGGAGCTCCAAGGCCTGCTCCCAGAGGTCCTGAAAAAGGTCGTCACCTCCTACGACATGGTGAGTAATGGTCAGGAAAAACAGCCCATTACATCAGCTCAGACTCACATCCTTGAAGAATTTAGGAATTTATTAAAATGGAGAAACAAAAATGATTCCCTCTTCTTGTTTGCTCTGCAAGTACCCGAGAAAGTAAAAAAAAAAAATTGGTTATGTGTGAATTACCCAATCAATAGCTTCTTTTCACCTCAGCAAACCAACTTCGACTCCGATTAGATCGATATCTTGACTTTACTTAATATAACAGGGACATGCTGAAATTATTAGGTAATAGGGTTGGAACTCTGTTAAGTAATACAATCAATGTTGAAAAGTTATGCAATGTGCCACTGAGGCCATTGCAAATATCATTGCAGTTAGCAGAACATCATATCCTCATAGTGAGCCAAAAGAACATTAAAACGAACAAAACAGGCACACAACTAACAAAACCTAATCCAAGCATCTTTACTTTCATAAATTGTCAAGTCTGATTATAATTTTTTTTTAGAGAATTTCTATTCCTGAAATACTTCTATTTAAAAGAGTTACATCCTTTTCTGGGTATTTTGTTTTTCATGCATTGAGTTATTTATTTAAAAAACGATGCATTTGCCCTATTGGGTCATAAAACACAACACAGTTCATACAACGTATTTATTAAACGATGATGAAGGCAGCAAATGTGTAACAGCATGGCTAAAATATAAAATAATTACGTTTTTCTTAACTCAGTCACAGTGCAGATGTTAACCTGACTGAAATGTTGTGGTGGGACCTTAATGCCTCGTTTTTGGGTCGATGTGGTTCGGTAAGCTATTTTATGGTCCAGACGATTGAAAAACAAACTACCTTTTGTATAATATTGCATGTAGATTATGTTCCTTATTTCTAATTAGCATTAAGCAGCCTAATGTTTTGGTCAAACTCATTGGGTTTGACACTGTTTTTCTACTCGATACCTTCTGCTCTTTTTATTCAATTTAACTTATTTTACTGTTGTATCTTAATTGATTTTATGTATCGAGTATGGTGCCTATAAATAAAACATGTTCTTCAAATTTCTCCCAAATTCTCAAATCTTTTGCAAATTTTAAAAAGAAAATTACTAGGAAACACACAGAAGAGTATTTGTCCCAGCAAGAACACAGATCACACTGCTATTGTTTTATTCATCTTCTAAAACAAGTAAAAGTGTTTAAATGTTTCTCACATGACAGTTGGTTCTGTAGGCAACCGTAACTGCTTGTAAAATTATGAAACAATTACACAGCAACACAGTTAGGTGTTATCTTTACTTGCCTGGGCTACTTTTGCATCACTTTTACTCTTTGGAACTCAACCATGAGTGCATTAAAGAGGAACCATGTTGAAATGACCTAGATGCAGACCGATTAAGGTGGCTTGGTTTAGTCTTGAATTGAAAGCTTGGGTAATCCGACTGCTGCTTATGGAAAAACATCAAATAAATTATGGAAGAATTTGAGTGCTGGAAAGTTGGAGGCCCTGGTAATTAGCAGAGATCGGAATTTGACAGTGAAACAACCACCAAGTAAATTATGTATATTTACCGCCAGAAATGTTAAAAATTATTAACTTTGGTTTCAGCGTTTTGCTGATTTGGAGTAGAGAAACACTGATAATCGTTTTGTGGCCAATTTCTGATCCCTGATCCCAAACAGGGTTTTACAAATGAAATCTCTACAGACAGCATTTTAAATTGGCTTTAGCAACTTAAATTAGGTATTTAAATTGTTTTAGCAAAAAAGTCTGTGTAAATCTTAGAGAAAAAATTTTCTTCAACTATTTTCTAAAAATCAGCATTTTAAGATTGATAATGATAGAACAAAGCAACTTTCCTGTAATACGTTCAGCCTTCCTGTTATCTCTTGAAAGTCTTGCACTTTCTTGCTCTGTCGCAGTCTGAATTAACCACAGACATTTCTCAACATATTTCTCCATTTAAGCAGCGTCTCAGTGATTCTTCACTCTTTCACAGTCACCTCTGAAGACTGTCCAGTCCAGTTCTGAGCATGATGCCTTCACTGACCAGAAAAAAAAATCTGATTTTTCACATTTTGACCTAACTCACCTTCCATAACTTGCTTAATGTGCTGTCATTTATTAAATGAATTGGATTGAACTGATCAAGCTGAAAATTGTCTATGTGGTACAGAAGTATCGAAAGGAAAAAATATAGTAACATTTTTTTGTTTCCATAGTGCTTATTTAATTATTACAATATAATTGAATTTCTAAAGTCTTTAAAGAAGACCTGAATGTTAAACTCCTTGTTCTGTTTGGTTTGAGAGATGGTTTCTTTCTTAAGTTCTGTTTTTGAATACAATTTGTTTTTATAGTTTTTAAAGGACAAACATAATAATTCCGCCAAACGGTCACTGTATTTATGTGCTACAAGGTTTAAACCGAGAAAGGTAGGAAACTTTAAAGCTTTGAGTGTGAGAATTTATTGTAATTTACTTATGGAAACTCTAGTTTTATGTTTTTTTGTTTCAGTGTACCATAGAAACCATAGAAAGTAGGGGAGCTTTTACACCCCGACTGCTACAAAACCTGATTCTCACTTATATCCTACTTTCCTTAAAAAAGAAAAAGAAAAAAGGTGTTTACACTCAGTGGGATGGCAGCTCATGGTTTTAAGTAATTTGATTAATGTTTATGCTTTTCAGTACTTCACAGCTTGCCTCTTCAGCACCCCTTACTCTTCTGCTTTGCACATTGATAAAACATGATGATGGTGGCCAGATTCTGTCTGAGCTGAGAAACGTTGGCGCCATCTGCACCGGCTGACAAAGACATTGCCTGGTGTTTCCTGCAAAGCAAGAGCCATGGCAGCGACCGTGAATATTGTTCAGTTATTGGCATCGAAGAACGTATGGCTAACAACAGCAGAGCTTGTTTGCAGATAATTATCCTCTGGAAACCATATGCTCCAGTTTTACTGGCTGCTGAAGTCACTCACGTTTTTGTTACCTGACCTACGTCTTGCTTGTATTGGCGTTCACCAGTGCAGATCAGAGATTATATACACTCAGAGGTGTTGTAAGATGAGTTTAATATGAACATTTAAAAAACACTAGACTGGCGTTTTTGAGACATGACTAATGAGGATATTCTGCATTAATTAGTGTTGGGAAATCGTGTCTGCACCGAAATCCACCTCAGACACTGATGCTGCAAAAAGAGCAAACTCTCTCACACCAACAAGGCATTTCATTCAACACAGTCCCATTTTTCAGACCAGTTTCCTTAAACCTGAGAGATTCTTATGCCTGGAAATCCCAATATATCAGTAGTTTCTAAAATTCCTGATTATTTTTCTCATATTTTGTTAATTTAGCTGTGAAAAAAAACAGACCTTGTCCAGAGTCAAACTCAGATTAAATCCTGGAACAGGGTCGGTGGCTTAATAACATTAAAATAAGTGAAAGGAGTTTCTATTTTGTTGGCAACTATTTTGTAGCAACAGAGATACTGATTTACAATCAATGACTAAGGCATTTAAATTGAAATCTAGAGGAAATGATGTTAAAGCCAATGTTCAGACTGAAAAAACATGACCAAATATCCATTCTTCCGTATCCTAAGCCACTATTTTTTTTAATTGTTTGAATTTGTAGATCCAGACTCTGTGTAACATGTTCTATTCATGTAGAGAAACGCATCACCAAGCTAACATGGAAGTAATTACTGTAACACACATGATCAGAGTAGTTAGGAGGTGTTTTTTTGTGTCCAAATATACCCTCATCCACTCTTAACTCAAAAACATGTCTCTTCTATATATATGTGAGACGCTGCGTGTGCCGTGAAGACGGTAATTTCTTGACCCATCAGGAAGGTAATCACAGCTTCTAAGTGCTGCAGCTGCAGATATACAAGCACTTTGTCATTACAGCTCGCAGAACAACATGGTGATTCATGTTACTGGGCTTGTGCAACTGTCTGCCCCACGCAAAACACCCAACAGCAGGCCACACGCTGTGGAAACACGCTGTAATATGTATTGGAAAAAAGTGGATGATGAGTTTGTTTGTTTTCAGAAAATGTTTTCTTTGTCTCAGCTGATTATCTTTAATTTCTAAACTTTTAATAGGTTAGTGATGTGGCTCTAATTGGTGAAGTGATGCTGAAAACCAGCATCATTAAGTTTTGGTTTTTAGATTCAGAAGAAAACTTTTGGAGTCCAAAATAGGACCTTACAGCAGTTTTGTTGTCCGTATATTATAATAACCCCTTGGGTGTGGACTTTGAAACTTTCCACACCTTTTATATGCACAATAGGTCATTAGAGAAACAGGGGAAAAAAATCAAAAAACCTATTATAATCTTTTTAAATGTGTCTGAGAGAGTAACTAATTAGAGACCAACAAAAGCCGCAGCTTTAGTTGATGACAGACTGTTTTTCTTTAACAAGCCACCAGAGGATACATCTGCTGGTAATTTAGTGTATAGTTTTAAACAGATCCAAAGGAGGACTGAAAACTATTGGAAAATGTTTGTTTAAGTTTGCAAGAGATGAGAAGTATCCTAAATAAAGATTTTTTTTAAACTCTCAAATGTGGGTTTCTAGATAATTAATTGGCTGCCTTGAATATCCAAAAGTCCAAAAGTTTTACTTTTCCACTCAGCATGTTTTGATATGTCCTTTCAATAACAGTGTATAAATAAAAGAGTGTATAAATCCATATTTATACGGTAAAATTCCACGTATGCCGGTATTTGTTTTTAACAGTGTACCATTAAAATACATAGTTTCATGCATCCCCTTCTTTTCTTCACAAAGAGCAAAATAAAAAAAAAGGCATTTCTCAGGTTAGAATAGATTGTCACAAGAACAAAACAGGAAATACACTTTTATTTATATCTTTGTGTTTTATGTATTCTTTGGAAACGATTATTTTGAGTCATTTTGCTCATCAGCAACACTATGATTAGGATTCTTATTAAAATGGGCATTTCTGGACAATTATTTTGTAAGTAATTTATATTTTGCTATTATATTCGCATGACAGAGTTGGAACATTTAAAATAAATATAGATTAGTTAATCATGTAAATTTGGCACGACGTCCCTAAAGAGCATAAAAATGTGCTGCAGCAGCACCGCATCACTTACACAACACAAATAGTTGTATGAAGTCACATGTTTGTGCAGCAGAACCACTTCCTGAAGTAAATGCAGAGGAATAGTGGCAGGGAAATTTAGCCTAAGTCTGAAACTGGAGGTACTGGGTAAGCTGATGTCTGGACTTTATTTTACAAAATAAAAAGTAAATATTACGTATTTTGTCATTTACCATTTGCATCCTGGGTTTGCGAGCATTTGGAGATCTAGTATTAGGTCTATTCTGGATGTCCCGGTCAGGACTTTCTACCCCAATACCAATCAGAGATTTCATTAAAATCAGTTCAGTCGCTGTGGTCCCAAACTGTTCTGAACAGTTTTTCCAGGAAAGCCTCAACATGTTGCTTCAAAACATCACATTGACGCCGAGCCTCTTCCCTCCCATGCATTGGCGTTCCAGAACAAACACTAAGCTGCTGTTGGAAGTTTAACTCTCAAAATTTGCAAGTATATCCAGAGAAGAGACTCCGTGTCTCTTTAATAGAAATAGCCAAAGGATGATTAGTGAAACATCTTAAAGATGCCCACTATTATGTTTGCAAGGGGTTTAATAAGATCGGTGAGAGTAATGTCAATGCTTATCTACTACAGAAAAGGATTAAACATGCTGGACAGCAGAAGCTTTTAAACGATATCTGTTTAAAAATAAGCATCGAGCTGAAGCCTCATTACAGCTCCGTCCCCCTCTGAGTACAAGCTGACAAAAAATTGCATGGGAAAATGTTGGTTACAAACACACACATGCATAGAAATACTTTTCATTTTGTCCTTTATTTCCTATAAGTTGCACACAATCTTGGCCCACACAATGAGCAAAAGAACAAAAAAAGTGACGGGACAGAATAAAGTCTTAAAAATGGTTTATAGGTTTTAAAGTAATGTCTTTGTTACTAAGTTTGATTTTTTTGGGGGGGGAGGAGGGGGGTAAGGACAACCCTTGTTGATGAATTAAGTGAATAGACAGAAAATGTGTTTCTTGTTCAATGTATTTGATTAGAATTTGATATTTCAGTATTTGACCAGGGAATCAGCAGTTAGAGCCAAGAAAGAGAAAATTTGCTTATTTCAATCAGATTAGTCGGTACGTGGCTAATTTTATGGGGGGTTTTTTAAAAGTGAAATCCAGTTTTCTACCTGAGCAGCATTGAATTTTGACACGGCCTTGATGGGCTCTTCAGGAGTGCACAAGCACATGTGCAAGCCAGTTACTATAGTGACATGAACACAAGCGCCCCTGTATCGGATTGACATTGGAAATGAAGTAACATTTTATTAAAAATGTCATCTTGGGTACCATGCAGGAAGATTGATATCGTATTTTAGCTGTTCCCTCAGATGATTAAAAAAAAAAAAAAAAAAAAAAAAAAAAGACGCCTCAGGCTCTGTATTTTTCTCTCCGTTACCCGGGTTGCACTTCCTTCTCTAACCTCTTCCTGAAACACTTTTCTGCAGAATATTTTGCTGGCTGCATTCTTGTTTAGAAGAAATTCTTTAATATGTAAATAGATCATCATGAAAGTTGTGACAGTCTGCAGGTCAGCAGAGTCTGTGCACTCAATTAGGGCAGAGCGTTGCACCAGAGGAGCTAAACTTAGCCTCCTTCACAGCTGCTCTGTCACAGATAACATGCTAATGATGTGCAGCAAAGTGACATGTTTGCGTTTTCATCAGTTGACCGTGATGATCAACGTTTCCGTTTAAAGCCAAGCGGAGGGGTTGCCATTTATATTTTTCTCCATAAAATGAGGCATAGTCACAGCTTGAAGGAAATCAACACAACCTCAAATAAAAAAAAAAATCTAATTACTTCTGCTGCGCTTTCCTTTAATTTTGGTTTGCAAAGATGCAGTTAAACGACCTCGCCCAACAGACATCCCTGCAATAACATCTTATTTTCTCGGCCCTCTTTAAATGGGAAAAACACCAGGCAGCACAATTTACTGCGTGACTTTAGTGTTCACCTCTCTTAAAAGCAGTTATTAAAATTGCTTGATTATTTTTCCTTTCAGATGATCCAGACCAGCAAGATCCTGCTGGAGAGCTCCGACTGCGTGTATGAGAGGATTTTGCAAACTCAGAAAGCAGGTAAAAAAAAAAAAAAACTTTGCTAATACATTTTTGTAAATCAATCCATATTCTGGCTAAAACTAGATTGCTTCACCTTAAAAAAAAAACACAACAACAAAACATTCAGTACCTGGAAGCAACTCAAGCCTTTGTTCCTGTTTCCTCAAGCCAACCAGAGAAACATTGTAACCTCAAAGAGTTTTATCACATTTGGCTCAGCTCCGATTCACACACAGTGTGCTAACAAACTGGAAAAAAAAACAGCAGACAAACAAACTGCTAGCTCGACACTACAGATGGCAGAAATGAGAACTTTCTGCTTCATGACTGTGAGAAACATTTGTTTAAATGTGAACGACTCTTCTGGTCATTTCCTACCTTATGTTCCCAAGTCCAAGAGGTTTGCACACTTTATACCTGGAGGACTTTGTAAATGTGCATTTTTGCAGAAATGAGCAACGTAGAAGAAAAAGTGAAATGTTTACGTCGCAGTGGTTAATGAACCCACCACACAGAGTCTCTGTCAGGCATGTCATGACCATAATTTTCATTTCACTTCCTTTGGGCTGTATTACAGGCTGACCTTGTTATTTGTTTGTGCCAGCCTTGACCAGAGGATTACAAAGTAACCTGGTAATAGAGCATGTAGGTGAAGTTGTTATCTCTGTTGTGACATATTGACTTAGTGAGGTCAGGGACAAGGTTTATTCAGTTCAGAGACTTGAGGAAACATGCTGGATGGACAATCCTGCCAGCTGTTCATTATTACAATTTTATTCAATAGCTGATTAATTTGGGTTTGTGGGTATATTTATACAATTATTATTAACACCTATGTGACTCTTCACAGTGAAATCCAAGTAGCATAGAAGGTTAGAGGAGCTTATTATGTGAAACTGACTGAGATTTAAATCATGTTATAACGTTATTCCCTCATCAAAACATATCTGGAATGTTGCCTTGATTCTTTCATGCATGATTGAGAATGGCCTTGCACGGTGCCGCCTATTTCCACAAAGTTCCTCCTTGGACCTGCAGTCCCCAGTGTCTCCCTCACTCAGCTCCTCCAGACTAGTGGCAGCAGCAGTTAGCGTGTGTTGTGGATAAGTGTTGGAAAGAGTAGGAGCTTCTTAAAGAGACAGAGGCCAATATCAAGGAATCAAACTGCAAAGCTACATTTCTTTTATGTTTGACATGCAGCATTTTCATTACAATTACGCTATAAAATGGCACCATGTGCCTGGAAAATATACATTACTGACCCATTAATGTTAAAGTAATCTTGTATAAATCATTAGATTGAAAATATATGACAGAGCATCCATACCATGACTCAGCTTCCTTTTTTTCTTTTGTCTCTGCACTAAGATAACTGCAGATAATCTGTAGCCAAAGTTTGATGGTAATTTTTAAACCTACATCCCAATGCGATTGTTATTCTCTCTATATAGCAAAGGTTAAACATTTTATTCTTGCAGCTAGACAGCAGCAGCATGTATCAATGCAAAGGAATAAGATTTACTTTCATTATTGTATGAAATTCTGTACATATGGAGTGTAAAAGTACCTGCATCAAATCATCGTTCAATTTCAGAGCCATCATTCTGTAAATATAACCATTACAGATCTTGTTTTTTTGCAGTTTCCTTTGCAAAGGTCTAAGCTAACAGCAGTTTTACAGGTATAATGATATAATCCATATCTATCCATCAATTACATGGTTATACCACACAATAATGGCTGTTAAAAACCTAATGGGGTCTGTAAAGCGTGTTGTGGTGCCTGATGGAAAGATAATTTATATAAAATACACAAAGAGCTTGCCATAAATGCTCTATTGTAGATCCGTTGGCTTTTGCCGTTTCTATAGAAACCAGATTATAAACAAACCTTCTTCAGACTCTTTATTACCAGCCACAGTTGCATTACTGTAACGTAGAGATGGTAGCATGATGTTACATTTTTAATAAGACACTTACCTGAAATAAAAAATTGTGGTGAGTGACAACCCACATACTGCTGTTATACTCACAAACTGTATAAATAAACTGAGTATCTCCATCAAATGTGGCACTATTGAGACAGAAATAATTTGACACACACACACACACACACATATATATATATATATATATATATATATATATATATATATATATATATATATATAGTATGTAGCACAGACAAGTAATCACATGGAAACCTCTCAACTTTCGTGCTTAGTTTATAACACTGTGTGTGAGCAGAGCCCACAGCTTATCTTTGCTCCAGCATGTGACCGAGGCACTTAAAGCAAACTTATATTTTATCAGCCATATCCATCAGCTCTACATTCGCTGACGGACCTGAAGATGACATCTCAAATATTCACCATCTGAAGCGTAAATGTTCAAACTATTTCTCAGTTTGTGTGCCGATTCGTGCCTGATTGGATCGACCCTCTTGATGTGTAGTTACACATATTAGAGTCATTGAATGACTCAAAAACCCTGATTTTTTTAAATTCCTCTTGTAAGTGTTCAATTTTATCTGCTGAGCTTTCCTGCAGATAACACCTGAGTGAGAACTCTGTCCTGTATTCATTAAATGCTTTTCCACTTTTACATATTTGGGTTATTGGAATAAATTTCAGCTGTAATTAAACCAGAATATCAACTCTTCCGGTTTGGAGTTGGTAGCCCCTGATCTAGTTTCTCTGTAAGATGAGCTGACCGATATCGCCTTAAGGAAACCTATTACCTAAACTTGCATCTTGATAAGCTGGCAGTAAAACCCAAACAGACCAAACAACTTCTCGAAAGCTTGCACTAAGGCTTTATGGGGGCTTTCGGTTTCAAAGAGCCTTCGACATGATTACCTAACATCAGCTGGAGAAAATTCAACAGCAAACAATTCCAAAGTAGGACACAACAGATGGCAAACCCATGAAGTTGAACAATGATTTATTCTCCATCCAGAACTGGCTTGTTTTCCCTGCAAAAAACAATGTGTTTGGGTGCATGCACCAGTGCAGGAGAACGTGCTCAAGCTGCTGCTTCTACCTCTGTGTGTGCATGCGGTGCGGTTTCACAGAAACTGGGTCAGTACGAACCTGGTTCCCTGTGAACAAAGCAGACTGTTTCAGCATCAACTACTACCAAAGTTGTGAATAACCCATCACATCAGGTCAGGGAGGCCTCACGTTCCTCCCAGGAAAATAAAAGGCGGTGTCGGATCGTGCAGAGAAAGGTGTTGGGAGCACTAATGGGGAGATGTCACTTCCCCTAACTGACTCACACTAAGGTCCCACTTAGCATTCAGGACGTCTAGATGGCAGAACAACACAATCAGCACAAGATGTTTCGAAATACCAAATGCTGAAAAACCGTCTTCTCTGCAGAACACAACGCAAGAAACAACCAAACAGACACAAATCTGAATCCTAAATTTGTCAATCAGCAATTAATCGATAACTAGCATAATAAATTAGAACAATAATTTCCATTCTGATTAATATTTTTGGAGGGATTTATTTATTATTATTTTATTTATGGTTTCTGTTGTGTGTGTGGTTTTCGTTTCCATTTCTTTTGTTTTATTTTAGATATTAATGGACATTTTATTAGTCTTTGAGAGAACAAAGTTGCATTTTTAGGCCATTGTCAATATATTACTTGGAAATAAGATCCAAATAATATTATTTATCACAATTGGGCCTGCCGCAATAACCAGCAAATCAATTAATTGTAAGATTAATTTTAACGCGCTCAAAAATTTCCATTTGCATGATTTATTGTTTTTCTCTTTTCTCTCATTCTTCCAAAAACTGAATGACAAAAGATTTCAGTCTGGTACATTAGTCTCAACTAGCCCTTTATTTCTGTACAGAGACTTCATAACTCATTTCTGTTATATATCTTTTGGATGTTTTGGATTATTTTGCCATTATCGTTATATTACTTTAAAATGAACATTATCGTTTATCCCAATAATTGCTGGGATGATTTATCATCCATCAAACTTTGTTATTGTCACCGGCCTACTAAATATTCTATTTCAGTCTGTGCAATCGTTTTTTTAACTAGCAATAATTCTCATGATCATTTTCTAAAGAGAGTATTCTCCAGTCAGGTCTGGAGAATCTGGAAAGTTAATATTTCATATTAGCAGGAGCAGCTCCTAAAATAAACCTCAAGGAAGGAGGCGGATTTGCTGCAGGAAGCGCTGTTTTTTCCTGCATTCTGCCTCTGATGTTGAGACAGAGAGACAGCATGTTGCACCGTCTCACACTGAAGAAACCTGAACTAGAAAATAAATAAACGCTGTCACAAACGATGTCGGTGCCTTTCCGACAGCAGCAACCAGCACTGGACAGAGCTGCCACACGACATATTTCACAGACGAAGACGTGTCCTTTTGTTAAACTCGTGTTACCTGAACTCCTCTTTTTGTTCCTGTCATTTCCTCACCTCCTCTGCTGACATTTCAGCTTGATGGAGGAAATGTTCAAATGTGCAAAGTTAGAAATGGAGGTGAAAACATGCTTGAGTTTCATCTACATTCTGTGCTGCACATAAACGGATGGCGATCAGAAATGTTGCCACTCCTGTTATTATTTAAATTTGAATTATTCTGTCTTTTTGTGGGTAGTTCAAGCAGCTTTTGTAGTGTGAATAATCTGGAGTTCAGAGCAAACAGTCCCAACTTTTAGCTCTGTGTTATTTTGTTCATGTATATTTTTTGCCTGAAATAAAATTACCAGAAAAAGAGAGAATGTGAGGAGACGAAACAGAACCGCTGCAAACTAAGAGTATGAATACAAACTACCTTAATTATTGTTAACAGTTGGTGACAAAACAAACACAGAACTTTATTCAACTGAAAGTTTACGAAACAGCCAAATAAATGAGCGCTTCACTATTTGAGACATAGCTTGTGTGTTGGAGCAGTATCATTACTCTTTTGTTATGTGCCTTTCCGTTATGCTGCATTTAGGTAAATTGCGACCGTCTAGTCTGAGGAATGCTCCAGTTTATACTAATAAGAGACACAAAGTCCACTAGCACCACTACACTTCCTGTTACCCGTTTACTTCTAGTTGAAAAGGGGAAATACCTGATATTGTTTGCAAACATATTTTAAAATAATTGCTTAACTATCATGAAGATGCTGAAAAAAAAAAAAACGGTTAAATCCAGCAATGATGGTTTCTATTTAACAATTATTCAGTGCTAACTTTATGAAAATGTGATATAGAAGCAGACAGCAGTAAATTTCTTTCTCAAAACTGGCACTATGTCCTAGTAGTGAAATTTCTAACAAATCTGAAAAAATAAGTCCTTTGCCTTTTCCCTGCGGTCCTACTGCCATCTGCAGAAATACAGCGACCCTGGTCTGAAATGACCAATTACAGCCAAGAGGAGGATCTTAGCATTTCCAATCATGCTGGTGCATGCGCTGCTCCCATGTACAAGCTTGAGGTTTCCAGTTTGTTGCAGCTGTGCTAATGGTGGAGAAATAATCTAGCACTGCAGAAAAACAGTTTATCCGCCATTATCGGCGGACATGTTTCCTAGCTTGCGCATTATCGGCAGACTTCGCTGTGGGAAGGAAACTGTAGCGCAGCGAAGAGCGAGAGTCTTATCTCACCAAATCCCTCATACTCTTTGACCAGAGAGCCACAGTTCTCAGCCATGTGCACCTTTAGATTGTATTATATATTAAAATAAACAGAGAACTAAAAATAAGTCAGCCGGTTTTACTAGATTTATAATTTAGGGCATCTGTCTAAACTCTCAAACATAGAGAATCTGGATTGTGTCAAATGTAAGCAGGAATCTAAACATCTGTATGCATCTGAGCTGTTTCAGACTTCAGCTGTCATATAAGTTATATGACAGCTGAATATAATATAATATAATATAATATAATATAATATAATATAATATAATATAATATCTTTGGGTTCTGGACTGGAGGCTAAATGCAGCAAGAAAACAGTCCTGCGAGAAATGATCATCCTGATCTCAGGAGTTTCCTAATTGATTTCCTGGGAGTTTCTCATGTACTTGTCCAAAAAAAAACCCAGAATAATTGGATTATTTTTGCTTTTTTCTGTAGCTGCTGGTTAAACAAGTTTCTTTTTAGTGTGGCAAGTGAACTGTTCCTTATTTACTGAAATGGAAAATAACCTGAAACTCCCTGTTGTACAACAGACCAAAAGTTGTTGTTGTTCTCTAGGATATTTTCAGAGCTCATCACAGCTCAAGTGTTACATATCCTTGTGATTCCTCTTATAGTCTTAACTTAATCCGTTTAGTCCTTCATTTCATCCTGACTTGAAAATTTATGCGTAAAAGTGAGGTTGTGAAAGTAATCAACTCTGTTGCTCAGTTTTCATTTTGGCCTCAAATTATCACAAGAACATTGCAGAAACTGTTTAGAATATTATTGTGGCATGTTCTGCTTTTATTTTGTAATGTCTCCTGCTCATTTCTAAGCCTGACCCATGTGCATCATGTGCTTGCATTTTGAAAAATCAAAGCATGTACATTTTAGCAGAAAGAGGAGCTGGAAATTGAGACATTTTGGTGCACAGACATCTGTCTACAGACAGCACTGTTTCATGCCATGAAAAAGTCCAAAACAACCAGAACTGCAGGAATAGCATCAGAATTTCTTATGCAAAAAGGGTCAAACCAGGTCATTTGTGTGGGAACACTGAAAACACAGATGCAGATCGAAAACGTGTGAAGATTTGCTGCTTGACCACAATAACAAAAAAAAAAAGAAATCGAGCTCAATGACCTAAAAACGAAAGACTCTATTGTATTTATAACAGTCTGAAAATGACTATTTTTATAACTAAAAGGTAGAAGTTACTTGATTGCGATGTAAAATGACAGTAAGTGCCTGGAAAATACATAATAAAATCCATTTAAAATATAGATTTTTTTCCAGTCGCTGCCCTGAGACGTAAGTGAATTTGTTGGCCCTTTTATAGTTTTTATTTGGGGAGTTATTTATTTTCTTATTATTACTACTTATAAATTATGTGGTTTTTTTATGCATATTTTGAAATATTTTGTCATTTAATTTCCAGATGATGTTGGAGTATTCTTTATAAAAATAAAGAGATTTCATTAATTTGATTAAACACATCATGATTTCAAGATGAATCGTTTTAGTTTTAATCAATAAATGGATCAGTTTTCTCTGTTGGAATTTTATGTAAAAGTCAGCTTTAGTCACTATTTTGTCTATGGAAGACAAGCTGACAGTTCCTCGGTACAGAGTGGCGGGCGCCCCGCGTCGAGCATCACCACAAGTCATCTTCAGTCATCTTCGCTCGCTCTTCCTTTTCACACACGTCCGAAGAAATTAGCTGCATCGTTTGGTGCGAGTTCTGCAATCTCTGGATGAATTTGTAATTAATCTGTAGAAAGATGTAGGTCACGCTCTGATGATGTGACATTACTGTGGAGTCATCCTCCCGTACTGCACCATTTCTGTCATGCTTTGCTAAGAGCGAGCTTCCCCTCTTCCTCTCCACCAGACTCCATACGGTGTTGCTAGGCAGCCCCCGCTGTGCGCGTCTCTGTTTGTGTGAAAGAGAAACAGAGGAAGCTCTGCACCTTCCTCATGACAGTCACAGTTCATGTGCGCCGCAGCGGCTCCTGGATCTAGAGTTGTAAAAGCTGAAACTGAAAGAGAGAATATTTGCATGTTCCCAGTCTTTTTGCATGCGCTCCGGATTTGAGCAGCAGACGGTGGATTCGTCCACGGTGGCAGAAAAGAATAAAAAATTTTAAAAAATCGTTTGAGGTCAGAATCTCAAAATGTGCATCAGCGGCGGTGATTCCTCATGAAGGGGGTTTTCTCTCTCTCCTTCCCAACCCCACTGTCGGTCTCTCGCTCGCACGTGAACATGCGCGTTTCCATGGCAACAGCGCAGACAGGGGCTGCGACCTGCTCTGAGCGGAAACGTCTGTTTTCTCTGAAGGAGTTTCCGAGCAGAAGCCTGTCACCGTCCTGTGATTTGTGCTGCGTCTCTCGGGTTTGGGGTTCCGGCTCCTGCAGCCTCAGCGTGAAATGAAACGTGTCCTCACTGAGGAAGCTTGGCCCTCATCATGTCCGCCTTGCCTGTGTGACCACGAGTTGGTGACATTTAACTTTCTGATAGTAGAGATTGAAAAATACTGAAAGATTTTACAACTAATAAAACTAATCTGTGATTTTTACCTTCATACAGAAGTCTTGCGTTATCTATAATCACTTTGAATTAGGGCGGAAAATAAATCAATAATATCCATCATGTTAGACATGTGATCAATGTCAATAGATAATACATCTGATCGAATATTTAATATTCAATGTGTGGAATAATCACTGCATCTTGATCCAAAACCACACAGCATTCTGGGATATGTAGGCAGAAGAAAGACCTTTGTTGCTCAACCTCTCACAGGTTGGTGGACTCAACTAGCTCACCTGGTTGCCTAACAACAACTTGTTGAGTAACTTCTGGTTGCCTAGCAACGACCTGTTGAGTAACTTGCGCAGCAGCAGTTTAATGTTTTTTCCAAAGTGCCTTAAAAAAACAGCTGCATGGAGTGAAAACTGCATAAAATGGGAAATGTCACATCAGATATTTACAACCAAAACTAGTCAGTAAATATCGATATCAACTGAAACACTTGTATGGTGATAAGTTTCAGACACCACTTAGCAGCTTCTCTCAAACCATAAACGCTGACCGGACGAACTTTTACTGCTCTTTTCTTCCAGCGATGGAATTTCATGAAAACCTGCATGATCTGGCTGTGAAGGAAGGGCTGAAGGGCAGGAAGCTGCACAAGGCGGTGGAAAGCTTCACGTGGAACATCACCATCCTGAAGGTGGGAATCTTTAGCACAATAAGTGCAACATTCAGGGAATATTGAGCTACATAAACCTATAAGGGGGTCTGCTTTATTCAGTCAGGGATTACGTCAGCAGCAGATAAAAGAAAGATAATTACATGATATTGCTGATAAATCAGAATCACCACAATTTTCTAGATTGGTGCATTGATAGAAAAATATACTTAGATGCAGAAATTAGATAATTTCAACACACAGACCACATGTTTTTTCTGTCTCTGTCTCGTGTTCTAGTTGTGAATCTGAATGAGCAAATCAGAACCAATAAAAAAAAAAAAAGGTCAAACAAGAAAATCCTGTTTGCTACTATTTGTCTATTTGGCCAGTTGTGTGGAGTTTGGTGCCTTCATTCAGTGTTTTCTGATAAGATCGACATAATGGTTCAGATGCATTAAGATGGTTGTTGGGCAACGTAGCCATTATAAAAGTGAGTTTCTGAATCAAGAAGGAAGATGGTGGAGAAACCTTAGATTATTCATTTCATTTAATACATGGATGCATCTGGATGGACGAGTTCCACATCCATCATGGACTACAACTGGACATCAAGTAGGGCTGAGGCACCAGTGTAGTAGAAGAAAGAAAGAAATACTGCCACCTGCAGGTTGGAGTTAGCAGTCACTTAAACCCAATGTCTGACTATTTTTCCAGAAAACTTTTTTGAATTTTGATTTGATTTTGAATCAATTCCTCTGACTGCTGAATCACAAAAAACTGTAATATACACTGTACGAATTTTGAGAATTTGTTCTCAATCAACTTACCTTGTAAAATAAAAATCTCACATTCGGTTTTAAACTTCTATTAGATTCTCAGATTAGTTTGAAATACGTTTATTTCTTCCTCCTGATGTAATCACTCTGATCTGTGCCCTCAGGGTCAAGCTGACTTACTAAAACATGCCAGAAGTGAAGTCCAGGAAAACCTCAAGCAGATCCACTACTCGGCGCTCACCTGCAACCTGAGCAAAGGAGGGACAGCGGGCGGCTCCTCCGGCTCCACGGACTCCAAGAGCCGACGCAGCTTGGAGGCCATTCCTGAAAAAGCCACGGGGGAGGAGGAGCTGACGGATGAGGAAAACTGAAGACTTCCTGTGGCTTTCCTTCAACTCTCTTCTTTCTGCATCTCCAAACCTGAAGGTCCTCTGTCCATCTTCACCCAGGTGCTGTCACTCTTCACCCTCCATCATGGACATTCCTCAACCTAAAGCACAGTTAAAACTTCTTAGACCAATAAAATCATACGGATCATGTCTTTGTTTCAAACAAGAGTTTTAGAAAACACAGGAAAAGGTTTTGTAACCCCCTCAAACTCTCCTAGACGTCTAAGTGAAACTTTCTGCTTCCTGATTTTCCCGTTTCCTCTCCTGGATGAGTCCGGAGTGAACCAGCGGCCCTCAGACTGTTCCAGTTCCAGACTTTAAACACGAGCACTTCTACTTAGCGGACCAGAGGACACAAAGAAGGCCTTGGATTGTTGCAAGGATTTTTTTTTTTTTTTAAAAAGCACAATTTTCCTGAGCTGTGAATGTAACTGGGACTGAAGAGTGGGAACAAAAATGTTCAGAATGAGAGTAAAGAGCTGTTTACAATTCTGGACTTGTTCATGTTCTCGTCTGCCAAAACAGTAGTAAACTATGTGTATATACAGAGTTTCCTGTGAGCTTTTTTTCTGCAGAGTGCATCATTTTATTATTGTACACTTGGAAATATGAGATTTATTTTATAAAAGTTATACGAACACAAGTGTGGAGATAAAGTTTTATTTGTGCGCGGACAAACCCTCCAACATGAGGAGGCAGAAGGACGTAAGAGGCAGAGACAGAATGTATCTGTGTTGTTGTCCCGTCTCTCTGCTCTGAACCAGCAGCTGCATGGAAGGATGTTGACACGTTTTTGTTCGTTCTTTGTTTAGATGTGCTTCTATTTCAGGGCAAGTTTTTACCAAAGTTCACCTTATGTTGGAGCTGAAAGTTTATTTCAAACCCAAAACTAAACCAGTTCAACTTATTCAGAACGATGTGAACACGACAAATCAATTGTTGCTGGTAGTAATCTGCAGATAGCCACGGTTTGTCCTTATTTACATTTTGCAGAGAACATTTTACAGAAAAACGGTTTGTTGGATGGACGGACGGCCACCATATTAACTTAATGTTTAATTATACAGATTATTAATTGAAAACATTCTGAAAATTATTTTCTGTATCTATTTTAGTGGCCATATACTTTAAGTGAACACAACTTTATTTAACAAACCTGCTAACCCTGTTAGAACGGCCTTTAGCTGGGATATTGATCTCCTTTTTTAAATTATGGTTAAACAATACTAATTGAATATTTTTTCGTAACCATTTATGTTTCTGGAAACAGAACAGTACAAAATTATGGCGTTTTTAAAGAGGGTGTTTTTTGTAGTTTTTTGTTGTTTTTTTTAAAATAGGGATTGTGTGAAGTACTAATTAGTGATCAGTATCTTACATGCAGTAAAACTTATTTATACCCTTAAACCCTCTAATTTAAACCTCAACTGGTGATTTAATCATAAGCTAAAGTTTTTACTACATCTTCTCATTCTTGCATAAGACGGTTGTCAAAGTGTTTCTCTTAAATTATTTTGCTATTCTCTCAGAAAAAAAACATCCTGCAAACAAAATGCCTCTGAATTATTATACATGAGGATGTTTCACAGTATTTTCTGGAACATTCTTTACACTTAATAAAAGTTAGACAAACTATCTAGGCTATATGTGCATTTATTTGAAAAAAGTTTGCATTACTGCTAATAATATTAGCATTAGAACCTAATCTTATCCCAGAGTTTCAACATTTGGATGCAGTTAAACACATTCAGCAGGACGCTTCTGGCTTCTTGAACAGTTTTCTTGGACTAACCTTAAAAAAAGTTACCTTGTTTTTATGGATGAGATTTGCTGCCAAAAAACAACAACAATATAATGCAATATAATGACCACATTATTTTGTTAATGTTTTTATCACCACTGGTCAATTTGTATAGAAGTGCACGACAAGTAATTTCAACCTATTTACTAACCTACTTTTGTATTTATTAATGAAACTATAAAGCTTAGAAATACAAAGAAGAATGTAAGTCATCTGCAGGTCCAACAGAACAATAGTTGACGGTTTGTCCAGGGCCAAAATATGTTGATTCCAATATTGAAGTTACAGATTGTGCAGAAAAATGTTCACTGTCCTCCATTACATTGGATCTTTAGATGGATTAGATTTAAAGTAGAAAATCGCAATTGATGAAAACCCCAACTAACATTCAGCTGCCTCCGTCCTTTTATACATAGAAAACTAATAAACAAATAAAAAATGATCTAAAATAGCATTTACTCAAACTCAACAAAGTTGCATGCTTGGTTCCTGCCTTGGCACGTCGTCTCTAAGAATCTCCCAGTGTTTTAGTGCCTAAAACAGTCCAAAGCGTTCTTTTAACGATACTCATCAGGAAATATCGGTTTGACCAATTCTTCAACAAAACGAGGCTCCACAGAAACATTGTTGTCCCTGTACACCAAATTTTAAATGCAAATCTTGAATTTGCCTTCTCACAGCGGTTTTGCAGATGTGTTGTAAGGAGAAATTAAAAGTAAACGTTTAAATAAGACAATCATGTTTTGTCTTGTGGAGACTTTAATGTTGGGCTAATAAATAAGAAATGCAACCAGATTTGTTGCATGAAGAGGCCTGTAATTAAGAAAAAACACCAAAATACCTTAATTCAGAATACCTGTAAACATGTTATATTTACCCATTGGTACTGTAAATTAAATTAACCTCATATAATTAATGGAGAAATTATCTCTATGTTCAGATCCATAAAAACTTTGCAAGGAAAAAACATTTTGATGAAAGTATCAGACAGATTACGTCTAAGATCAAGGATTAAATAAAAGCATGTTTTTAGTGATTTCTGAAGCTAATCTGTGTGAAACTGATTAACCAAGCTAAGTTTTAAAAACTAATGTTGGATAAACAAGCATAAAGGCGTCCGTCACACAATCTGAATTTGCCCCATTAAAAGTAGAATTTTGCTACTAAAACAAGTTTGGAACCGCCATCAGCCTTCATGACTGATTATAATGGAGCCTTTAGCATTATATTTGTAAAAACATCCTTAGTATTAATCCCATGATGCCACTACGCTGATATGTTACCATGACGATCCCTACCTATAAATCAAGTCTCATCTCATAACGATACACTGGTAATAAACCCCTACAACCTCACTATGCAACGTTCTTTCAACCTTTGTAAACTTTTATGCCCCATCAAGGACAATTTAAAGCTCAATATGTTCCCAATGCCTCCCAGAAAACCTCACTAATGACGGATCTGTTGACTTTTTACCTGTTGTTGGGACTTTATCGTTCTTTTTCTGTTTGTTTTTGGCAGAGAAAGCATTAACTAGCTTTGCTCTTTTGTAGTAAATTTGTTGAGTTTGTTTAAATCAAATGTTTGTTTGTTTTTTTTTTTTAAATGGCATTTTATAATCTACATTTTCTCCGGTTTTATTTTTTCCTGCGTCGGTGAACATGTAGGAGTTAAAACGGCAACAAACCCAGTTTAACTCATTAGTTTTAAAACAGAGACACCATTAGTTTCGTCACCATTTTATACCTTTTTATTGGGCACATTTCAGTCAGTGCTAACTCACCACTTTAGCTTTTTCTTTTCTTTAACCTTGTTTGCATTTATTATGTTACTCTTTGTTGCAGCACTTATTTTCTTATTCTAATATTTGATATTTAAATTATATCTAATTAGAAAATACCATTGAAATAAATATGTGAAGAATGCTAGTCAAGTTGAAGCTAATAAAATGTTTGTTTAATAAACTGATTTAATCTCGTTTCAACTGGAAATTTTCCCAAGGTGAAAGTTGATTACACTCAATTCAAAGTTATTATTTTCATGATAGATAAAATCCCAAAATGCTGTTTCCACTTTGACTAAACCATCTTCCAGTGAGCTAAAGTAAAAGATAATTAAAACCCCATCACGTTGTTTCTGTGTTTTCCACTTTTAAGACTAAACAAATCTGCCAGCAACAGTACAATTGAGCAATCAGAGAGCAAAGTAAAACTTGCGGCACTTTCCAGCTCTAAATGTTTTGTTTGGAGACATTTTGTTTCCCTCCTTTTTTGTTTAAAGTTGTGCTTTTTGCTCCCAAATGTTGTCCACACTTCCTGGTGTTTCCAGCGAGCCGTCTCTGAACATCAGTGCTGTGCCAGAGTCCGTAATAATAAATGTCTAAACAATCCAGATGTATTTCAAGTCCAATCTGTCAAGTTTTAAATAACGACCTCTGAATAAACAGTGTTGGATAACAACGTCTGTGATGCATTTCATTTCCAGAGCCGCATCATAACTCATACATGCTGGTGTTTTTACGGCACAAATCATTTTAGCTTCTGGTCTGAACTCAGAATATTGGTTAAAATTTATATCCATCTGAGTTCATCCAGTTTTGATGGTAAATCATCCCATACAGCAGATATTGGTACGGAGTTCCACAGGGGTCAATATTTGGACCGATACTCTTTACTCCTGATGACTGTGACGCACATTTCTATTGTCATGTTGATACTTCTCGGTTATATTAAGCTGCAAAAGCTAAAACACAGACATAGAAATTACCTTCATTATTTCAAAATAGGGAAATTCAAGTGTAACATATATATTTACGTAAAAAAAAAAAAAAAAACAGGAATAGTATACTATGCAGTAAGGACAAGATAAAAATAAAATACTGTGTAGTTAATGAGAAGCATACTAAGTTCCAGTGAGCAGGAAGGTTAAAAATGTTCATGACTGTGCATTAGAAAGAACAGGCTGTCTACGAATACATCATTTAATTAGATGACTTGGTATTTTGAAAACAAATATCAGACTGATTTATTTCTTCTGTCGACCAAAAATGTCTGTGTAAAAGAAACATCTGCAGTAGCAAAGATGGGGACTCAAATTATGATTAAAAAAAAATCAAATCCCCCCTTAATTGCTGCCATCTTTTCTTTTCTTTTTTTTTCCAAAGCTCCATTTTCGTTTTCCAACCTTCCGCAGACCTTAAATCTGACAAAATAAATAAATGCAATACTTTTCTAAATTGCACAGGAACAGCAGAAAGAAAGGCAGAACGATCTGAACATGAAGTTACTGAGCTAAATAAAAACACAACATTCAAGTTTCTGGTGAGAAATTGGTGTTAAATTAGAAATTCCTTCCAATTCCTGAGACAAAGCAAATGAAACACGACATAAAACTGATAATATATAAAAAGTGGATTTGGGTAACCTGCTCTTTATGTTCAAAACAGAATGAATGGATTTTTAGATTCACAACACTGTTTTCTCAATGAGAGGTCGTCTCTGCTGGTTACATGAGTGAAATCCAATCATCATTGGCTCCATGGCCGCCCCCTGATGCGTTCCCTCTGGCGGGCAGAGCCAGTCGAAGCGCTGCCCGACCCTGACCTTTCACCTCTCCTCTTGTGCCAAACAGACCGTTCATGCTCCGGGTTAAACCGATGTAGGCGGCTAAAGTTCGCATCAAAGTCACTGAGGCGCGTCCTTCTGCTGCCTGCTAAGTCGACTGAAGCAGTAAGAAAATCGCCCAACTTAAAATAGACATTTCCCTGAATTTATTCCTTTACGTCTTGCTTTGATGTTTATCTAAAGCAGCACCACTAGTCAGGTCCAGTCCTTTTTTTTATACGAAAGACGATCAGGGCCACTGGAAAAAAATAAAAATAGAATTCTGGCCTCAGAATTACGGCAATTTTTTTTCTCAATAGTCTGATCTCTGGATTCTGACTATCCTCAAAACTCTGGCTTTTATTCTCAAAATTCTGACTTTAATCTAAAAATTCTGACTTTAATCTAAAAATTCCGACTTTAATCTAAACATTCCAAGTTCATTCATAATCTCAATTCTGACTTTTTTTTTTTCAAAATTCTGACTAATCTTGGAATTCTGGTGGGAGTTATTTTTTTATCTCAAAATGATGGCGCTTTGTCTGAAAATTAAAATCCTGACATTCTGTCAATTTTTCAGAGTTTAAACTTTTTTTTCTCTCAAAATTTTGACTTTTGTCTGAATTCTGTCTTTAACCTCAGAAAATTAAAGTCAAAATTATTTTTCCCTTTTTTCTAGCGACCCTAATCATCTTCCCTATTTTTGTTTAGTTCATCAAAACATTAAAAACATAATTTTTCTTTCCACTATAAAATTATGAATAACTTTGTGCTGGTTTATTGTATAAAATCCACATAAAACACATTTAAACTTATGGTGGTAACAAAATTAATGAATACCGTCTCAAAATAATAACAAGAAAGCCTGGCTTTCAAGGAGCGTAGGCGAAATAAATGAGGGTTGGTCCAAAATTTCTGCAGAGAACCACGCATAACTCTGATGTTTCAAGCCGCACGTCAATGTGGAACCAAGGACACAGAGCCTATTCCAACTGCGAATGGACACATGCATCAGTATTGATCATGTGTGCGCGTGTGGAGCGGAGCAGAAAGAGCCTGGGGAAATAAAGCCACACTTTATTTCAGATGGACCTTCGTCTGCACGCTCACAAACACAGAGAGCTGACGCAGGAAACCCGGCTCCTTTTTATGGACACACCAGCTGCTCAGCAAACCGCATAAACTTTATTTGTACACCGAGTGACCTCACCAGACCTGACTGCAAGTACAGAATCATAATTTGACTCTAATCCCGATTCTCTTTGGGTTGAAACGGGGATAACATTTCCATCAACGCTTGAATCTTTTGTCTGAAAAAACACCCAGACGTCTTGAGGTTTCCTGACAGCCCGAGTCCCACGGGAGGTAAAAGCTCACCTGCGTGTTTCTGCTGCTTCAACACACACAGCTCTGCAATCTGCTAAATGTGTTTAAAGAACATAAACGGACCACAATGGCTCCCTCTAATGCACTCTAAAAGGAGCTGTTTAACGAGACTTAGCATGTCGTTGAATGTTTATAACACAAAATGGCTTTTAAAAAACCCATAGCCAAATTCAATTTGAAGGAACCCATTTGCAATTCGTCGGGTGAACCGCTCTTAATTTGCTGCAGACAGGATTTAAAGCAAACACTCAGGAGATTAGTGTTTATGGCTTCACCTTGCAACCCTTCTCTATGTAGGCTTACTGCAGTAAATTTAGAGCAAATGGAAATATGGTCCAAGTATACACATCAGTTTGAGAGATACTGGAGAAGAGCCACATTTCAAGGAAGTACGAGAGTCACTGATGAAGGTTCTGAGGAGACACTTTCCCAGAAGGAGTCAGTGTCAACAGCGAGATTAAGATAAATGGATACGTCTGGTCAGATGGATGAGTCTGGTCTGGAGCGCCGTGTCTCAACGTTAAATCATCCTCTGTGTTAAACAGTGAAGTGCTGGTGCTTGACGGCTGAAGACGGCGTGTTTGGACGGGTTTTTAAACAAAAGGATGAAGCAGAAGAACTCCCTGGAGATCCCCTGGGTTCAAATGATCCAAAAATAAAGCTGTATCTCGATAACTTAGAGCATTGTGACACCAAAAATCTAATTTCTCTTTTCAAAAAAACAAGAACTTTTAAAGCAGAAATGGCCATGAAAGGATTGTGATCAAAAGCCCTTTCAAGGGTTTGGTGAAGATGAGGTAGAACCAGAACCAAATATGGAGAGGCAGCGTTCAGCTCCTACGAATCTGGAACGAACTTCTGGAAAACCACAAAACAGCAGAAACACTGAGCTCCTTTAAATCTAGACTTAAAACTCACCTGTTGCTTTTGAACCATAATAAATGACACATTTTGGTGTGTAATGATGGCAAAATCTTTACTGACTTTCTCAATTGTTGACTTTGTGTTTTTGTGATTTTATGATGTAAAGCACTTTGAACTGCCTTTTGCCGAAATGTCCTAAACAAACAAACTGATCTGTAAAATCATCTAAAACCGATAAAATTACTTAGAAAGAACCAGCATGAAGATAATTAAACTGGTGCAGTTATTTTCTCTACATTTATTCCAGCTGCATGATAGATTGTGTTTCCGTGATGGATTGAAACCATTTTGTTCTTAAAACATAAATTCAGTGAAAAATCATGGATTTATTGTGGATTTTTACTACAATATTTGCCTGAAGCATATAACTGTTTCAGAAAAAAATTGAAAAGTGCAGTTTTTTTAATTTAGTAAAGACAGGTAGAATGTTTTCTAAATTAATAAAATAAAATAAAAAAAAGTTAAATGTATTTGTCCCTCCCAGACGTAAAAACACTTGAAGCCGGTCTGTCAACAGGAAGTTGGCTGAAAGATCTCAAGATCTAAAACAGATCTAAAGAACTTCATTAAAGGATTTATTAAACATGCATGAAAGAATCAAAGCAACACTTCAGGTACGATTTTGATGAGGGAACAACGTTATAACATGATGTAAAGCTCAACATAAGTCGATTTTACATAAAACTGCCCCTAAGTCCAGTCTGACTAGTGGCCTAGTCAAAGACTGGACTTAAAACCAGTTGGTAACAGCTTCTAATGTGGCTGAACTAAAACAACTCTGGAGAAGAGTGGACCAAATGTCCACAGCGATGTAGAAATGAGCTTCGCCATCACTGCCAATCCTTCATGGTGTATTTATCTGATACAAATGTCATGATAACAGTTTTATCTGGTCCAAACAAATCATTTTCAGACACTAGACAATGCTCTCCCTACAGGTTAGATACCAGCTGCTGATAAACGCTCCAGTTTTGAAAAGGAACTGAACTCTTAGAACTGATAAAAACACGTTGCATAATGCATGAGCTGCGCAAAGTGAGCAGGTTAACTGCAGACACACCTTCAGGTCTGGACTCTGTCTTTGACAGCATGGTCTTAATTGCAAAGCTGTCCCATAAATTACTACCCACACTTTACTGTACAGGAATGTTTCTGCCTGAAGGCTTCATGTGCAACACAAACTGCAGCACAGTTATCTCATATCATATCTTCTCTCACTAAATATTTCACGATCCGCTCAAAGCTTCGCTCTCAGTCCCAGAGCGGCACCTCTATACTCTTTCTGGGAAGCTCTTCAGAAGCACACAGAGCCACTAGCACAGATTTATCGCCGCCGTTGCGACTGTGACCGAGTCATGAGCCCCGTGTTGCAGTTAAAGGAGCGTCTGAGGCGAACACAAGCAGCGTTCAGAGGAGCGTCGACGAGCGCAGACTCTCGGTGCTCATCTCTGGGCTGAATTACTGACCGTCTCCGAGAGACGCCGAGGAACGTCCTGGAAATTGGCAGCTGCCATGAATAACGCGGCAGCCAATAACACGGTTTCCC